AATAGAAAATACTGGGGATGAGCTGGAAAATAGTATGGAGGAGCTAGAAAATATTAAGGTTGAGCTGTAAAATACTGGGGATGAGCTAGAAAATACTGGGGATGTGACTAGAAAATAGTGGGGATGATCTAGAAAATGCTGGGAGGTGAGCTAAAACTAAAAGTAAATATTGATGAGAATTTTTTTTAAATGAGGAATATTGGGGATAAGTTAGTTTTTAAGGATGCTAGAAAATATTGAGGAGGAGCTAGATAATATTGGGGATTAGATGAGAAATATTGGGGATGAGCTTGAAAATGTTGGGGACGAGATTTTTTTTTTTTTAAGTCTTCCGACCATTGGATTTTTCCAAATTAATGGGGATGAGCTAGAAAATATTGGGGATGAGCTAGAAAATATTGGGGATGAGCTAGAAAATATTGGGGATGAGCTAGAAAATTTTAAGGTTGAGCTAGAAAATATTAGGTTTGAGCTTGAAAATATTAGAGATGAGCTTGAAAATACTGGGGAATATTTCGGATAAGCCAGAAAATACTGAGCATGGGCTTGAAAATACTGGCAAATTTTGGGGATCAGCTAGACAATACATTACTGGCAATGATCTAGAAATGAGGAATCCTAGGGGTGGCCTGGGGATAGAGCTAGAAAATATAAGGAATGGGCTAGCTAGAAAATATTAGGGGTAAGCTAGAAAATACTGGGGATGACCTAGAAAATACTGAGGACGAGCTAAAAAATAGTGGGGAATATTCGGGATGAGTTGAAAAAATATTAGGTATAATTAGAGGGAAAGAGAGGGAGAGGGAGAGGGAGAGCAGAGAGAGAGGGGGAGAAAGGGCAGAGAGAGAGAGCAGAGAGAGAGAGAGAGAGAGAGAGAGAGAGAGAGAGAGACAGACAGACAGACAGACAGACAGACAGACAGACAGACAGACGTCTGGGAGAGGGGGTGGGGCTGAGGGAAGAAAAAAAATAGATGAACAGACAAACAGGCAGCCAAACAGAAACAACACAATTATAGACAGACACCCAAACAGACAGACATACAGAAACAACACAAATTGACACACACACACACACACACACACACACACACACACAAACAGTCAAACAGACAGAGATCCCCACCACCTCACGAAAGTCCCCTCAGCAGCATCAAGAATTTATACGCCACGCACGGCCTAGATGGGAGAGAGATCAAACTACGAGTAGATCTAACTACATCATGCAGCTCAGTCACAGAAGAAGTACTCCCCAGGGACCTGCTGGTTCAACGGATGATAAAACTGGCGCGCTTGCTTGACCGTTGACCACTGACCACACGTCGTCGTGCTCTGTCCTGTCCTGAAGTGTCCTGTCCTAGTCTCCTCACTTCTTGGTTCTCACGTTTTTGGTCAGGTGTGTGGTGACTCGTGACTCGTGACTCGTGAATGTGATGTGTAAGGCTTGAGTTCGAGGCTGGGGCAAGAAGAACCCAGTGTGAACTGTGTGTGTGGTTTGGGCTAAAGTGCGTGTCTGAGTTTGAGTTTGAGTACAGAGAAACAAGGTGATTTTTGTTTATTAAATTGTTATTTATTTATTTATTTTATTTGTTATTTC